CAGTTATTGAATTCGTAAGAGACTTCACGTGTTCCTGCATATGTAAAACTTCTTGTTTTAGTTGCATGACGTCCCCTTGAATAACATTCTTCATCTCGGTGAGGGCAGATAATAAGTCAGCTTTCATACTGTCAAGGGCTGCTTGAGTGACTGGGCCAGGGTTTTGTTCTACGTCACCACAACACAATAGCGCTTTACACCGAGCTTCCCCTAACAGTATATTACGCACGAGAAGTTGCTCGTGCTTGTGGTTGATACAACTTGTCATTGACACAAAGCCATGATCTACAGATATACTTTCGTACTTCAAATCAAATCCAAGTAACCCCCTTGTTACTGAAAAGGCAAAGTTCAAAACGACTGTTTGGTGAATACTACCGAGCAGGCATGCAACAACAAGAAGGCTCACCATTCTGTAGTTGTACTCGGTTGTTGTTGACCAGTTTGTTTCTGGGTTATACACAGTTGCCATCTTGTCAATCTGGCTCCAGCCAGGTCGATGTGTGTACCTTCCGATACGTTGTCTCCACGTTGTTATATCCACCATTGTAGTCGACAGAACTCAAAGCACCTATGTCTGGCGCGTGTTTGAACTATTTGTACGTCGTGTCTGTCTTCAATTTGCTAATTTAGAACGTTTCAAATGAGAGACGATGTTGTGGTCAACCACTCCACTTGACGCATGCGCAGTCAGTGTTGATGAAGTGGATACAGTTGCTTTGTGACTGACGGCAGAGGGTGCTCTCGTAATTGAGGCATAAGATGTATTTGGTTCTGGTGTGGGAACAAGAAGTTTCTTAGCATCACCAAAACTGATATTCTGTGTAAATTTAATTTTATTGATCTCCATTTGTTGCTTCCAGATTGGACATTGTTTAGAGAAAGAAGAATGTGTCCCAGAGCAGTTGACGCATTTCTTAATGGTATTATTGCAATCCTCAGTATCATGAGTTTTCTCACTGCAATGAGCGCATGTTACCGAGTTAGTACAGTTATTTGCACCGTGTCAGTACTTCTGGCATTTGAAACATCTCAGTGGATTAGGAATAGAGGTATCAACACTGATATTGCAATATCCTGCTCTAACTGATTTTGGAAAGGTTGGAGAAGAAAAATGGAAGAGATAAGTATTAGTAGGTTGTGTTTCAGAGTTTATTCGGGTTGTAAATCTTTTAACGAAAATCACTCCTTGCCCTTTCATTTCCGATACGATGTCGAGTTCAGTCATATCAGCAAACAATCGATGTCGATCTCTGACAATCCCTTTGCTCGTGTTCAGAGCTCTGTGTGGAGAAACTGATACCGGAACTCCAACAAACAACTCGGTTGACATTAGGTTGCTCGATTGCTGTTACATTCTATAAGAAGGGAGCCTGCACGCAATCTTTTGATATTCTTTACCTCACCTGTGATACTATGTATACCTTTTGATACTGCAAAAGGGTTTAATTTTATAGCTGAATTGTCTAGAGTCTCGATCACGAGAAATCGTGGCCAATATTCGATTGACGTGGACGGTCGTGGTTCATCATCATCATCATCATTGTCAAGAGCCAACGCCTTCTGGGCATACGACTCTAGGCAAATTTAACATTTGTTGAATTTGTAAATCAATAAATATTTAGTGAAGTAAGTGGACCAATGCCCTTATCAGGATTATTTACATCAATCAAATTTGTGCAATTTCAAATACAATGCACAGGGCATGACGTGACCAGCCGATTGGTTGAACCACCCGTCTTGGTGAAGTAAGGGGCGAAGTGGTGTGTTGGGCAAAGGAACACTGTTCCTGGACCCAGTGCCCTCAACCACCAGACTCCCGTCCTCCACCGACACAGGGGCGTAACCCACGGCAAACGGGTTGGTGGACCAAATATCCCCCCGGGTCCACAACGGGGGGTCGAAGCACCCACCACGAGGAGGTGGCTCTTCACTGGTGAAAAAATTAAAAAATGGAACGTTTTAATTTACTTCGAAAGTTTTGGGACTTACGTAACTCTCAGGAAGACAATAATTTTGCAGTACTTTAACCCCCCTCGAGGATACAGCCACTAACGGCTGAGGGGATGATGTAAATCAAGCTAGGGTCCATACAGGAAGCAAATGTACTGTAAGTCCCCATGGTCTCTAGTATTGTGATCTACCTTCAGTCGTTGGCAATCTATAACCTGTTTTTATATTGTATTGTCATTTACAGTTCGAATATTTTAGATTTAGTTGCTAGTTGTAAGTGGATATCTGTGATACACTAGTAGTTTTAGTGTCCTTTGTCAACAGGTTTTTTAATGTCTTACTTCATTGATCTTCAATATAATTATAAACTGTTCTCGTCACGATATGGCTGAAATATTGCGGATGTGACGATAAATATGAACTCACTCACTCATTCTAGACAATATAAAAACGGGCTGCATATCACCTACAACTGAAGGTAGAGCACCATGCTAGTGAGAATGGGGACATACAGTTCTTTAGCTACCTGTATGGACCATGCTGGATTTACACCATCCTTTCAGATTACGTAAAAAGCCCTTTAAGGTTGGACATTGAACTAATATCTCTTGTAATTGAACCCGTGAAGGTCCGGTTTAGAATATTGATCTTCAGTAACCCATGCTTGTCGTAAGAGGCGACTAACGGTATCAGGTGGTCAGGCTCGCTGACTTGGTTGACACATGTCATCGGTTTCCAATTGCAATGCTCATGCTATTGATCACTGGATTGTCTGGTCCATATAGCTGGAATATTGCTGAGTGCGGAGTAAAACAAAACTCATTTAGTCACTCTTGTAATGGAAAAATTAAGACAGCAAACAAGCCATGCTTGACCACGCATGGAACGCTTACAATAATGAACAGTCCTGTGTGATGCGATGTGTAATAAGATAAACTGTTACACACACTGTCACCATAACCAGAGTGTCAAATGGATGTCATTTCACCTTCCTCATATACCACTGACATTGTCTGTTGAAGAACTTGTAAAACATAACAAGAAGACAATATTAAAGGGGAAGTTATATGAATGGATCACTGAAGATCCGTGATGACAGCAGGTGTTTGGGTAAAGGATAAGCCTGTCTTGTCCCCCTGGTCGCACCCGTTACTCACACAAGTTACTAAAAATTATGTAAATCCAGAGACAGATGAACAACAATGTTGTTTCCTTTGCTGTGAGGTTGACACAATACTGCCATGCTGTTGCATTGTTAATTGGATCTCTACTGACTACAATTTAAGAATGAGTAGACTTCTCAATGCGTGAAAGGTCTACCACTGAGTAACCTTGTTAATTGAATGCAACCAGAATAATGTAACTTGTGTTTATACTATGTTGGCTGGTGTTGCAAGAATGCATCACCAGATATCCGTTCAAAGTGAGGCTGTCATGTTCATGTCATGTTTTGTCGTTTTGTTGACGTTTTTCAATCCGTAATCGAAGTCTTGCACTTGATGTCTGAATATCACACTTTTAAACCTAGAGTGTAGTTTCATAGTATACGTACTCAGAGCTCTTTCGTGTTATGGTCCATTAGACTATATACAGTCGTGCGGGTAGCTAATGCAGTGTACAAAATGTGAAGGTCTTGTAGGAAACGTGTGAATTTCGGCGACCCGTAAAGTTAATTAACGGCCGACTAACAGATACGTGGTACATTAAGCACACTTTGAAAATATAGTGCCAGAATTCAAAAACAAAATGAAATCAGATGTGTGATGCACTACTGATCAAGTCGTAACATTTGTAGTTATAACAAACTGTTAAATTATACCCGGTATTTCTTCAATTATCAATAGGCACCCGTGAAGAGCCACATCCTCGTGGTGGGTGCTGGGTAACGCTAAGCGCTCTTCAATCCCCCGTGGCACCCATGAAGGGCCACCTCCTCGTGGTGGGTGCTGGGTAACCCTAAGTGCCCTTCGACCCCCCGTTGTGGACACGGGGGTATATTTGGTCCACCAACCCGTTTGCCGTGGGTTGCGCCCCTGTGTCGGTGGAGGACGGGAGTCTGGTGGTTGAGGGCACTCGTTCCAGGAACAGTGTTCCTCTGCCCAACACACCACTTCGCCCCTTACTTCAACTAGACGGGTGGTAGAACTGGCCCGGTTCTATCAATCGGCTGGTCATGTTAAGCCCTGTACATTTAAATTTTGCTGAACAAATTTTAAAAATTATTTCAAATTTTTGTCAGTGATCTTGGCTTCAAGATGATATGTTTATATTTTCATTGTACAACTGCGATTTAGTATTATTGTGATTGATTAACATGAATGTCATCAATAAAATGTTCTATGGAAATAGAGTCCTATGTCCAGAAGGAAGTGGCTCAAGGGCCAATCTGGTGGAATAATTGCTTGTTGATTGTTCTGCTGGAGTATATCATCCGGGTATCCTTGGTGCTGCAAGTCGGAAACCCACTTGTGATTAGCATTGTCCTTGTGATACTCCATGGTTGGTGGGGAGCCCGGATGATGAATCAAATTAAACTTACCATGGATTACCAAACCCCCACAAAAAACCCCAAACGTCCACTAGATAATGATGATGAGCAGAGACCTTCCAAATCAACAGAAAATTGGCCACGTTTCCTGGTTCTCGACACTGTAGACGAGACACCACTAAAGCTGAATCCTTTTGTGATTTCTAAGGGTATATATGGCATCGCAGGTGAAGTAAAGACCATAAAACGCTTGCTTTCGGGATCATTATTGATTGAATGCCTTCGGAAACAACAAGCTGCAAACCTCATGACTACAGAAACATTTGCTGGAATCCACATTTCAGTTACTGCGCACAGAACACTGAACACCAGCAAAGGAATTATAAGAGACAGAGATCGTTTGTTGGCCGACATGTCAGAACTGGACATCTTATCCGAAATGAAAGATCAGGGAGTGACATATGTCAAGCGATTTACCACCCGCAAAAACAATGACGTAATTCCGACAAACACGTACCTCTTTTCGTTCTCTTCACCAAATCCTCCAAAGTCTGTAAAGGTTGGTTACTGTAACATCACAGTTGCTATTTACATCCCAAATCCCTTGCGCTGTTTCAGGTGCCAAAAGTATGGCCACGGTGTCAACACTTGCACAAAGCCTATAACATGTGCTCACTGTAACGAAAGTTCACACGTAACTGAAGATTGTGAAAGTGCCTTCAAAAAATGCACAAATTGTTCAGGTAATCATTCCTCCTTTTCTAAAGACTGTCCCATATGGAAAAAACAAATGGAAATAAACAAGGTTAAATTCACTCAAAACATTAGCTTTGCTGATGCCAAAAAGCTTGTTGATTCAACAGTTCCAAATGAATCATATGCATCAGTCGTCAGGACACCCTCCGAAAGCTTGTCAAAAGTAAATTTGCCAGTATCCAGTAGTTCAATAGAGTGTCAGACTCGACCTGGGTTACAAACGATACCCCTCACCTTCTTACACCTGAACAATCTAGTCAGACTTCAGAGTCGGTACAAACCAAAGTTCAGGATGAAGTTCAATTATTGTCCACTCAGAAGACTGGATCTGACACAATTTCAAAGAGTGTGGTCAAAAGTGTACAGTTAAACCTAGGACGGAAAGTGTGCAGAAAAGTGGTAGACCCTCTGAGGGTTCAGAAAACCGTATACAATTATATAACAAATACGGTTCACTCGAGGACATGGATGTGTCAGAAAGCATCCATCCCATGGCACATAGCTCGTCGCCCTCGAAGAAAGTGAGGGGTAGGTACCCTATCAATCCACCTAAGAGATAGGTCGTTTTACTAATATCGTGCAGTGGAATTGTAGAGGTCTGAGGACAAATTTTAATGAACTACAGCTATTAGTCCAGGATCTAACACCATCAGCATTCTGTCTGCAAGAAACGCATCTGAAACAGACGGATAATTTTACTTTACGCCAGTTTACAGCCTTTCATCATTATTCTCCTCTGGGTGATAGGGCCACTGGAGGATCTTCTATCCTTATACGACAGGATGTTATTCACAGTCCTGTTACACTTAAAACTAATCTCCAAGCTGTTGCAGTGCGACTTACTCTGGGTGTAGCATTTACATTATGCTCTGTATTTATTCCGCCCTCATGGGCACTTCATCAGACTGATCTACAGTCACTCTATGATCAGCTCCCGAAGCCCTGTGTTATTATGGGTGACCTAAATGGTCACAACCCGCTCTCGGGTGGTAAAAACACTAATACTAAAGGTAAAATACGGGAAGATTTTATCTCCAATAATGACCTATGTATATACAATGATGATTCAAGCACTTACCTGCATCCAGCAACCGGAGCCTATTCTTCTCTAGATCTGTCTCTTGCAGACACTAACCCCCTAAATGAATTTGATTGGTCTGTCCTCTGTGGAAGTGACCACTTCCCAACTATTCTTTCAGAAATAATTCCATCTGATTCTCCATCATATACAAGATGGAATTTTTCGAAGGCTAACTGGACTTTATTTCATACTATATGTAAATCGAAACTGCGACCTGAATGCTTCAGTGACGAACCTGATCCAATTCAGATTTTTGCTGACGTTTTAAAGGAAATAGCTAATGAATATATACCGAAATCCTCTACAGCTCCACACGTACGGAAACCATGGTTTAATATAGACTGTAGAAAAGCCCGAAAAGCGAGGAAAAAGACAGAACATTATTTCCGCCATCATCCAACTGTCCATAATTTAAATAAATTCAAAATACTCAATGCGAAGGCCCGTCGTACCTTCAAACAAAACAAACGACAATCTTGGAGAAAATATGTCTCCAAACTTAATTCACGCACACCCATGTCTAAGGTGTGGAACATGATTCAGAGAATAAAAGGCAAATGTTCAAAATCTGCTGTTCACCATCTTAAAGATGGTGATAATTTAGTTACTGACAAATCAAAAATTGCAGATAAAATTGGCAAAACTCTTGCCAAAAATTCATCATCGGCAAATTATGTCCCTGAGTTTCAGAGATATCAGAAGCAACAGGAAAAGACAAAACTTAATTTCGAATCACATAACGGTGAAGATTATAATGAAGTGTTTTCATTACATGAGCTACATACTGCTCTTGAGCAAGCTCATGACACTGCAGCGGGTGATGACAATATACATTACCAGCTACTAAAACACTTACCGGAACCATGTCTGATGACACTTTTAGATATATTTGACCAAATATGGACGTCTGGAGAATGTCCTCCTTCATGGCGTAATGCCATTGTAATCCCAATACCAAAACCTGGCAAGGATCATACAGATCCATCGAATTACAGACCGATCTCTCTAACTAGCTGTGTTTGTAAAACCATGGAACGTATGGTGAATAATAGATTAACTTGGTATCTTGAAACCAATAACCTTATAACCAATTTTCAATGTGGTTTCAGGAAAAATCGTAGTACCATTGATCATTTGTTACGTTTAGAATCCTTTGTTAAAAATGCTATAGTAAATAATTGTGAATGAGTGAGTTATTATTTAACGTCACATCGGCAATATTTCAGCCATATCGTGTATAGTAAATAAACAACATGCTGTATCAATTTTCTTTGATCTTGAGAAAGCTTATGATACCACCTGGAAGCATGGCATTTTGAAGGATTTACATGATTATGGTTTGAGAGGCCGTTTGCCTCTTTTTATATCACGGTTTTTAAAAGACAGGCAATTTCAAGTCCGAGTGGGTTCAACCCTGTCTGACCATTATAATCAGGATCAGGGTGTCCCCCAAGGAAGTATTTTGTCTGTCACTTTATTTAGCATTAAGATTAACAGCTTGTCCAAGGTTTTAAACGATTCAATTGATGGATCACTTTTTGTGGATGATTTGTAATATTTCTTGTCGCAGTAAAAATATGCATCTTATTGAACGGCAACTACAGTTGTGTTTAAATAAAATAAATAAATGGTGTCTTGAAAACGGCTTTAAATTTTCTAAATCAAAAACTAATTGCATACATTTCTGCCGTAAATATAAACCACATAACAACCCAGAAGTGTTTTTAAATGGCATTCCCATCAAGGTTGTAAAAGAGGCCAAGTTCTTAGGTCTCATTTTCGACTCCCATTTAACTTTTCTTCCGCATATCAAATCTCTAAAAACTAAATGCCTGAAGGCACTTGATTTATTGAAAGTCGTTTCTAATTCAAAGTGGGGAGGGGACCAAACTACCCTCCTCCACCTCTATAGGTCACTGGTCCGCTCGAAGCTTGATTATGGCTCCATTGTTTATGGTGGAGCCTGTAAAAGCAACCTCAAACTCTTAGATTCAGTCCACCATCAAGGTCTTAGACTTTGTCTTGGGTCCTTCAGAACTTCTCCTGTTGACAGTCTTTACGTCGCGGCAGATGAACCTTCTCTTAACCAACGCCGTATAAAATTATCTTTACAATATATTACAAAATTATATTCTAATGAGTTTAATCCTGCATTTCACTGCATTTTTAATCCTCTTTATGAGGATTTGTATAACAAAAAACCTTCTCTTGTTCGGCCTCTTGGGCTCAGAATTAAGCCATTTATTGCTGCTGCTGGCATTGAGCTGGAAAATATAGCTCCTTCCCGTCTTCTTTCTTCTCCTCCTTGGCAATTGGTTAGGCCACAAGTCGACCTAACACTCACTCATTTAAAAAAAATCAGAAACTAATGACTTACTATATAAACAAGAATATAATCAATTAAAAAGTAAATATAATACATATAAATCCTTATTTACACATGGGTCCAAGGATGGTGGCGCGGTTGCTTGTGCCACTGTCATTGGGTCCAAAACAATATCTTCCAGATTACCCAATGACAGTTCAATTTTCACAGCAAAAGCAAACGCAATACTAACAGCTCTTAAATATATTAATAAACACCGTAAATATAAACAATATAATCATCTTTTCAGATTCTCTTTCGTGTCTTCAGGCTATTAAAAATCTTTCTTGCAAACATCCACTTTTATTAGAAATTATTGAATTGTACAATGAACTTGCTACTGGCCAATGCGACATCGTCTTTTGTTGGTTACCCAGCCACGTTGGCATTTCTGGGAACACAATGGCTGATATTGCTGCTAAGGCAGCACTCAACAAATCTGTGACACCACTTCTGATCCCATACTCTGATTACAAAGCTGCTATAAGATCTTATATCCGTGATCTGATGCAAAAGAAGTGGGACACCCAAGTAGGTATCAATAAATTACATGCAATAAAACCCTATATCGGTTACACTTACTTGGGTTGTCAGTCCAGATTTGAAGAGGTCATTATGCGACGATGACGCATTGGCCATACCAAATATACTCATGAATATTTATTGAAAGGCGAAGATCCTCCGTTTTGTATCCCTTGTGATGAAAGGATCACAGTCAAGCATGTCTTGCTTGACTGCATTGAATATTCCATCACAAGTGATATCTATTTCAAATCCAAAACTCTGAAGGATCTTTTTAATAATGTCAGTTCTCATTTAATTATTGCATTTTTAAAACAATTAGATTTGTTAACAGATTTGTAAATAGCTAAATATTTTATTGTTGGTAGTTTATATTAGTAACTGAGATTGTTAGTGGCTGTACCCTCAAAGGGGGGTTGACGTAGCGTAAAATTATTGTCCTCCTGAGGGGGTACGTAAGTCCCAAAAACGTTCAAAGTCAATTTAAGTGTACCAGGTTTTTAATCGTAGAATATATGTGCTTTTAATTTATGGCTAGATTTCTCTTCTGTTGCCAATGGCTGAAGGGATTGTGTAAATCCAACTATGGTCTAAAGCACATTTTTATATTGTATTGTCTTCATAAATAAAATAATTTTACATGTTCATGCTAGTTTTAGAATCCATCTGTGATACTCTAGTTATTTTACAGTCCTTCGATGACTGATTATTTAGCAACTTTAATTTATTGTTGATATCAAACATTTCTCGTCACTATATGGCTGAAATATTGCCGATGTGACGTTAAATATTAACTCACTCAATCCCCCGTTGTGGACCCGGGGGGTATATTTGGTCCACCAACCCGTTTGCCGTGGGTTGCGCCCCTGTGTCGGTGGAGGACGGGAGTCTAGTGGTTGAGGGCACTGGTTCCAGGAACAGTGTTCCTCTGCCCAACACACCACTTCGCCCCTTACTTCACCTAGACGGGTGGTAGAACTGGCCCGGTTCTATCAATCGGCTGGCAACGCCAAGCCCTGTGCTACGTCTATGTACTATTGCACCAAATTTTGAGAATTATACAATGATGTGTTTAAAATCTTGGCAGAGTTGTAACTACACAAGTTCATGTAAGTTTTTACCTAGAGTCGTATGCCCAGAAGGCGGTGGCTCATGGGCCAATCTGGTGGAATCATCAATCTTTTAATTTTTCTGCTAGAGTAGATCACTGGGTATCCTTGGTGCTGCAAGTCGGAAATCCGCTTGTTTTTAGCATTGTACTTGTGATACTCCATTGTGGGTGGGGAGCTCAGATGATGAAATCTCTACACTAACCATGGCTTATGAAACCTCCACCAAAAATACAAAACGTTCTCTTGAAATGATCCTGATGATGATGACCTTAGACCGTCCAAATCAACTGACTATTGGCCACGCTTTCTTGTGATTGAAACTGTCGACAAAACACCATTAAAGTTGAACCCTTTCGCGGTTTCCAAGGGTATTTAAATGGCCACAGATGAAAGCTGATTCTATTTGCCATTCCATGTTGGTCGGCAGAGGATTTATCACCACAGTGGAGAACGAACCACTGATGCATCTGTGGCAACGCACCACAGTGGAGAACGAACCACTGATGCATCTGTGGCAACGCATAACTGATTTGGTGGGGGTTCAGTCACGGTTTGGGCAGGGATAACTCCTACTCTACTGCACCTGGGCGACGGTAATCTTACAATATTCCAAGGACGTTAAGTCGACGTCTCTACAACAGCAAGGTGGGAACATGTGCAGCTGTTGCAAATGCCAACCCGTTATTGACACTAACGTGTATTTCCCTATAAAGGACACTTCCTAAAGTCATGCGTTATGTGGTTTCCATACTGATTTATGGCATTTTCATGGCATGTAGAGAATAAACACAAAGTGCTTTCATTCGAGTTATTGTTGTCTTTTCTGAAACTAAAGTTAGAAGAAAAAACCGCCATGTTTTCACTCATTGTCAGTCTCGTGATTTCACACTTCGCCTTTGGTGAGTATAATATACATGTGAGTGAGTGATTGAGTTTAGTTTTACGCCGCACTCAGCAATATTCCAGCTATATGGCGGAGGTCTGTAAATAATCGAGTCTGGACCAGACAATCCAGTGATCAACAGCATGAGCATCGATCTGCTCAATTGGGAACCGATGACATGTGTCAACCAAGTCAGCGAAACTGACCACCCGATCCCGTTAGTCGCCTCTTACGACAAGATAGTCGCCCTTTTATGGCAAGCACATGGGTTGCTGAAGACCTATTCTACCCTGGATCTTCACGGGTCTAATATACATGTATTTATGGTGAATGTAAAACTTGTTTTAGTCACAATATGGCTGAAATATTGCTGAATATGAACTCAATCATTCAATGAGATAACATTGCCCTGCTTGTTGTGAATGGTAAAGGGGGCAAGCGCGGTACTGAACAAGTTCCAATACAGATGGCGAGTCCCTGTGAAATCCAAAAGTGACTCCTACTACTACTGTTAAATGTGGAGGGTGCACCAAGCGCCACTTAATACCTATTCTTGCTTTAGTGTACGCTCATTACGCCCATACACCAGATGTATCCACTAGCAACACACTTTGTTTTATACGGGTATGTTTTGGACAAAAAGTAAGACATGTGATTTTTCTTGCTTTGTTTAGTATACAAAGCGTGGGGATTAAGGTCTGGAGTGAGTAAAATTGGTTTTACACCACTTTCAGCATTGTCCCAGCAATGCGACGGCGATGGACACCAGATATGGGCTTTACACAGAGTGGGGAATCGAACTCGGGTACTCCGTCGCCCTTCAGTCTAGAATCCATACCCATCTTCCCAGGCTTAGTGACCTGGTTAAATAATGTCCTTGTAACCCAGCGGCTAGTATTCACAACATCGATCAGTTGACTGCATCTCACAACGGGACCCTTGAAAGTCCGTGTTGAAATTTATCTTCAGCAAGTCATGCTTGTCGTAAGAGACGAAAGGTGAATTTGTAGAAACATGTCATCATATCCCAATTGCGTAGATCGATGTTTATGCTGTTGATCACTAGATTGTCTGATCCAGACTCCATTATTTACAGACTACCGCGATATAATTAGAGTTTTTATGAGTGTGGCCAAACCAAAATGAAGGAATACCAACAGACATCATTCTTTAATCTCAAAGCATCTGAATAAAGTATTGAATGTGTGTATTTTTCCAAAACTGAAACTGATCTGTTTAGATTTAGATTTCATCTTTGAATATTCATTATTCTTTAAATATCAGCTCGTGCTTGGATTCCAATCACTGCAAAATGCAACTGCATTAAGAAATCCAATAGTATACTGAATATGTTCATGTTTCATACCCTTTTGATACAAAATGCACAGCACAGCGACCAAGCTTCTCGAATGGTAAGGTAGATTGTAATACCTGAGCAAGATACCATGTTGAGTGTGCTAATATTGTGTTTATTTCATTTATGCCTATCAAACCAACCGTCGTCTGTAACCTGGAAGATCGAGTCATCCGGCCCTGACAAAGATGAAATGGTATATGAAGCAGCCAATGACGAATGGCAGTGTGAGGCGAATGGCATTTCTATATCCTGTGTCCTTGTTACGGACAAATCTGGGGATGGTACGTCAATAGGTCATACGTCAAGAGATGATACATCAGGACAAAGCATATACGACGTTCCACAAACGTGTTCATGTAACTTTCCAGGGCAGGCTCAACACAACGGCGGTATCCTTTTTCTAGATTCAGAGGAGAATATAATGTATTATCTTAACCATGACACAAACACGTTTACGGAAATGTACAAATTACCAGAAAACATCGGATGGTTAACAGATTCTGAGTCGTGTTGTCTATTTACGTCTGTATGGGACGAAAATACAGACATTTTCAGTCTCAATAAACACTGTCTCAGTAGTGGACAATTTATGAAAACACTTCTGGAAGTGAGTGTAACAGCATATGTCGTCCACTATGATAAAACAACTCAATATCTCTATTACACTCAAGAAAGACAAATACAAGCTTTCAGCATCACCGAATCTAAGACATCTGTGATTGCTTCAAACTTTGGTTCTCATCATTGCACAGGAGATACGGAATCAAATGTCATGATGTGCGTTTCAGCACACCCCGATGAGTCCACTGATACCAACCGGTGTACGTTCAGTTGGGCAAACTACAGGAAATCAGAACGCTTGACCCACAAGAAGAATTTCACAGTCCATCTGGAGGGATCTGATAATTATATTGACGAGGTTTGCTCTGTGATGGACATTATAATATACAGGGATAACAATGATTTTATAGCCTATAACATGACATCGGAAAAACAACGTCCTCTGAATATCTGTACCAATCACCAGAATGAGGAAGATAGCCACTCTGTTGGAGTGTATGGTTTACAATTATTTTTTCAGTGTAATGACAACGGTAATGTTCTTCATTTCTACGACAGGCATCTTCATCACTTGCACGACATATATCTGCCCTTTGAATAAGGGTAATCGCTGGGTATTAATGACAATAATGTCTTCATGTCGTTACACACTCTGTCTCAGTGATTGACATACAAGTCACTGTCCCATCAAGAATCGGTGTGACTCTCCTCAAGCATTCCCAGTTAGGATTCTCGTCCTCTTGTTCTGGATAGGTTATTTAGTTTTAGACTCTGAACTACATCAAAATGCTATATGGCCATTACATGCAGGAGAACATGATAACCCATCTCGATAATTTGTGCACAAACAATTTCGTCTAAGCATGGAATCAATTCATAGAGGAACCAACGAAGATCCAGGATAGCATTGGTCTTCGGACAAATAGAGTTTCTCATAAGAGTCGACTTACGGACATACCCGCTGCATAGATCGACTTTCATAGATGTAAGTCTTTGCATAGTCTTCTACAGGCTCTGATTTGTTTATATATCCCTCATTTAGCTGGAGTGCAGTTTTTGTTTGGGGAATGTAACAATAAAACAACAAAAGTACCTGCAGGATATATGTGACAGGCATTGACACCGGAATGGAGATCACTTCACAGAAAGAATCACTTGCTGATGTCCTCCTCTATTAAACTCTGCACAAGTGAAAGGGACAACACTCTGGTTCCAATAATATACCAGAGTGGGCAGCAGAGAGGACAGAGATAAAAGTTACTACCACCAGCAAACAGTGAATAAGTACCGACTGAGAAACAGTTGGCACCATTTGGACTCACCCTCCAAACAAGAATCGTGTTGTTCTCCAGGAAAGGGACACCTTTTGGTAACAGGACCAATAAAAGACATTAAGTTGAAGATAAGTGACTCTTTGCTTTCTCTCTCTTACCTTCTCTCTACGTTGAACCATTAAGTTGAGAAGAAATGTGTTCTTGATTATTGTTTGATCGACATTCTAAAATTGAGTGAGTGAAAAATGAAGCATGCTATTTATTTATTATATATTGTTGTTGATAGCATAGAAAGACGGTGTAGATTCAACATCCAAGTGAAAAGTGACCACAATCAAGTGATGAAAACCTTTCGCTTGAAACGTTTTAGGGTTAGGTTTTACCTGGCTGTTACAAAGAGAACACTTGTTAAAAAAGCCTGCTTAGTGCTTGACATAGGTCATTACTTGTGCATAAAATTGATATATAGATATGGTATAAATTCAATAAATTGCCGACAGGGTGTTGGCTTTTGTCCAAGGAAGCAGATGTAGGCAATATCACACCTGAATTTCAGCAAAGGAGCAACATTTAGAAACATAACTAGTTGAAGGTGGTAATATAGAGGGACAACTTCAACAGCATTGCAGATGTAGTCAGAATACAGATAAATTAAAAAGCTGCTCATGAACCGATGGAAGTAAATTATCCACCACGACAATGATATGAATGTGGCCAAGTTGGGTATAGAGCTCAAATATGTCAATTTAGGCCAGGGGATGAGGCAATGCTATACCATCTCCCCAAGGCACTTTTACAGGTTGTAAACCCAATGTTGGAGCTCGATGAACTTCACACTATTGATATGCTCAGCTAAATTGGGCTATAGTGTAT